GAGGGCAATTCGCTATAATTTATATTTTTTTAGGGATGTAATGTTAATTTTCATATTACTTACATCGAAACAGCGAATTTCAATGCCTGTTTCGCAAGTCGAAACGAGCCAGTTTGAGGCAGATGCGATTTAGAGGGCACGTTTTCTTTCTGCTCGCTAAATTAGTTGCTGATTTCATTTCATCCCTGTCAGAATCGCATTTGTTTATTGTAAAACTTTCATTTCATTTCATTTAAATGCAGATAATACGAATAATATAGTGTGTGACACGGGATAAAATACGATTTAAGACTAGGGTGAAGTTGTCACTCAAATCTTACCATCACCCAAAGTCTTGTTCAATCCCTTGTCACATAATATACTATTATATTTATTTCACCTTTTTTTGGACAATATAAATCAACAACAGTTCTGTAACAAGTAACCTCTTGTTCACGTCATTTTATGTTTTAAAACTAGATTAATGTGTTTTTGTCACAAGATGACATATGCTGCCATTTTTAGTGGTCCCGCAATTCTGCTTTTAACTAAGAACATATGAGTAGACAGTTGAAAAAAATTACGTGAATTTCGAAAATTTTTATCCTCATAATTATTATATTAATTCGATTGGGTTTTTTATTCAATTGTAAATGTATTCAAGTACATTTAGAAATTAATTTATAAAAATGTATTTACATGAAGCATTATTATTCTAGTCGACATTAACCATGCCTCTTATTAATATTTCTTATAGTCGATTGATCTGTAACATAAAATTCGAATGGATTGTAGAAATATGATATATACCTATTCAAATGTTTTTTAACTAAACAAAAAGCGGGTGGTTTCTTTACAAAAAATTAAACTTATTTTCACACAACCATAATTTTTTAAAAATATTTTTAAAAAATCTATTTCAAATTTTTCGTATCAGGCACAAAAAATTGCAAAGAAACTTTGTTTCTGATTTACAATTGATTATTCGCAATAACAAAATGCGCAACGTCAGAACACAGCTATTTGTATCTCAAGTAACGTTATTTGCATGGAATTTGACAGCTTTCATTTTACTCCGAAGTCGTTCTAAAAAATCTGGTGGTCTGCTACACAATAAAAGTTCAAAATTCGTAGGGGATATGTGCTCTCAAACTTCCGCGAATGTGATAAATGCGAATATGAAATGATCAAATGTATGGTGATATAGGGGATGTGTTCCATGCAAAATTCAAAATAAAGAATACATTTAATACAAGAGAAGTATTTTCTTTTCAAGTAAAATCTAAACACATGTATGTACATCCACTTACTTATTGCGTATACATATATTTATAATTTTACAAAACAGCGCAATTGAACACACAAAACTCAATTCAAAATGGAAACTCGAAAGAATACTGCTGCTGGCGAATCCGTAGAACTCTACGCTCTTGGTAAATCATAGACGATGTCTTGATGACATTAGAATAAATTAAAAATGTAGTCCCGCGAATATGGAAATTTCTGGTCGCGAACAAAGAAAGTGGTCACAAATATGTCGCTCACGAATACTGAAATGGGGAATAGCGAGCTCGCGAATGAGGAGCTTTTATTTGATCGATTAGGCATCAATGGCTGGCTTCGGACCCGTCTATGCCACCGAAAAACAACGGCAGGGAAAGAAAACTCAAAGATCAAAGGTGCCTGTGTTTCTGCCGATGCCTTATTCTAATTGGCGAACTTTAAACGGCTCTAGTTTAAAAATTAAACTCTAATAAAAGAAAGGTCACTTTCATGATCAGTGATGCACCTCGAAGAGCGGTGTACCTCTCTAGTAAGGCAGTTTGGGGACAATTCCTCCATGCGTTGAATTATTTTTTTGGAATATCTCAAATATTATTACAGCTATTGTTTTAAAATTTAAAGCACTGTTATGTAATTTTGCTTTCTCATACAGGAAGCTATGCGACTGTGGAAAATTTTTCTTTCGAGATTCTTATGTCACCATGTTCAGAATATGCCAAAACGTCGAAAAAACACATTTCGAGAAAATGTCCGGATGTGTGTGTGTGTGGGCGTGTGCGTGTGTGTGCGCGCCCGCGCGTGTGTGTGTAATGGCCTCCCAAAATTCAAACGTGTATAACTCGAGAACAGTTTTAGCTACAGCCCCCAACTTTTGCAGGCATGTGCAGCTCTATAATCTCGTCATTGAATATTTTCGTCATGATTCAAGCTGCGGCTGAGATGTTATGTCGCTTTCGAATTCCTAAAAAAAGGATTTTATCACTCTAGCGATCGCAAATTTTGTGATAACCGTCTAAATAGTTCTTGATAAAGAGATTTGTATCCAAGGTTGGTTGATATTGCATTTGAGCCGAATCCATCGACAAGTTTTTATTTTATGATATTTTGAATTTTTCGAAAAATCAATTTTATCGCTGTAACTAGCACTTACTTTAACGAATGAAACCGCAATTTTCTGCAAGTATGAAATATCATCTAGCCGTAATACATATGAAATTTCGCGAAGATCGGTCAAGCGGATCTAATTTTATAGCAATTCGAAATTTCGGGGTTCGGTAGTAAATGAAGATTCATCTACGAGGAAACCAAAGAATAAAAAAAATGAAAATGTTTCCTAATATAGGGACTTCGTACACTACCTACAATTCGGAGGAAACAAATTGCAAGTTTCAACTTGCGGCTTGTTTAGAATGTTAGAACCGACATTTTGGATTCATAATTTCTTAGTTTTCCATTTTTATCACATTCGTTCAGTGATCCAAAAAATTCTGAATTATTAGACCGCGATATGAAATCCGCCAGTTTCAATTTAAAAAAATGTTTCCCTAGATACGTATTCAGCGACCCGGAAAAAGAACACTAACTACTAAATTTTATACAAAAATCGTTCAAATCCTCTAGTGTTCTTTATACTTTGGATACTCATCTGTGGACTTTATTACTAAATAAAGGAACGAATGTAAAAACCAAATATGGTATTTAAATGATTTAGCTTAAAATAAAATCGTAGTTTCACTCATTTGTATTGATTAAGGTGGTACAGACTATCGAATGTAAAGCAATATTTCGAATTGTATTGCATAAATTATGCTTATTTTCCCGAGTGGAAATTGAATACTCGAATTACCTGTAGTCACTATCTAGTCGATTTCAATTTTACCTCACAATTGTCAAGTCAGAATAGTCAATGGCTATTATTTAATTAAAAGTCTTTTACAACTAGCGGCAACGTTGAAGAATTACCCAGTGGCTAGACAGTATCTAATAGTATCGATGTCTAATAGTTTACTAACGGAAATTTGCAAGTATAGCTGGACAAAATCGTGATGAAAAAAAAAATTACTTGTTATCTTTATTAGGTTACTATTCCAAAATTTGGAGTATATCAGCTCCTTTTACGGCTCCCCGGCATCAGTCTAAATAAAGTATTTATTAGTTATCTTTGCATTGGAGAATAATTTCAAAATTAATGGATGTTGGAAATTTAGTTTTAATAGAATGTAATATGCTATTTAACGACTATTTATGAAATTTTCTTTGCACAATTTCATATGCAGCCTTTAGACTGTTATACTTAATCTTATTTTACATCTTTTTAGTTAATATCGGCTAGACCCGAACGCGATAATCGCCTGGTTGCATATGTACCTGCCATTGAATGAGATATTGTAACCATACTTGCCGTATAGGCAGTGAATTTCGGAATTTATATACCTCAAGTATCTTTTGAATTAGAAAGATTAGATACTGAATAAACAAGAACTATACTTGTTATTTACTCAATCATAATCATCAGCTCAGTGTGTTCACTTAGTCAGTGAGAAAGTGGTGAGGATGACTAAATAATAATTTCATTGAGGATATGCGCCACCGATAAGTGAGGGTGGTTAGATACTCCCGGGGTAAGTGCTAGATGTCGAAACCACGTAATCACATAAATTGGCGTAATCACATAAATTCTTAAATTGGCTTTCTAATAGGCAAGTCAGGCATAATATCATAATAAGATAATATATTTATGGTAATTTAACACCATCTATAAGTGAACATCGCTAAATACTCTGTAAGCAAAATTCGTATAACGTATGATTTTCGTAATAATAGAACCTCATTTTTCATTAATGACCTGCTACCCAATGACTATATCATCATTACAAAACGAATTCAATGCGTTTCAGCGTCATGTATGTGTATGATAGTGTAGCTAGATGCTACCTAGGGAAGAGCTAGATGAGCTATTTGAAGACCGACATAACCTCACTTGTTTTTAGTAAAACTTGGGGATTCAATACTGAGTTATTGACTACATGATATTTTTATATTTTGTGGTAATTTTGTGCTATCTATAAGTCATATTGGCCGGATAGTCTATAGGTAGGGGTTAGAGTATAATTTGTACAAAAGATCCTACCCTGTTGTGGCACTATCTTAAGCTAAAGAATTTATCGAGTTCTAATTAGTTAGTCACTGGTGTTTCTGTTGGATTGGCGACCTTAGTTTCTATTCGGGTATCAGACGTTCGAGACGGAATAAAACAAATAATCTTAGAATCGCCATTTTAATTATGATATATTATATTTCGATTGCATTATGTCAAGTCAAGATACCCTGAACAAACTTCTATTGGTAGTGTGTAACGATGCTGGTCCTATTTCCTTTTGAGATGCAAAACTGAGAAATTTGCAATTACATTGAATATTAACCCTTTTGTTACGGGTGCCGCCTATAATAGCTGAAAGACGTAAGTGCAATGTGCACATTGTGCGGTGCGGTGCCCCCTTCAGTGGCGTCACTCTGACGGAGCGGATTGTCGTAGCGAAAGGATCAAATTTAATGGGAAACTAATGATATATATAAACAGTGGTAAATTGATAAGAAATGATAATTAGGAGCTAGCTGCTTTGACGCTGCACTTAGTAATGATTTATGAAAATGCTTACATTTATTATTACAATTTGCAACGTTTCTAATCAAACACTTTTTGTCCATTTGTCTTTGTGTCGTATCCATTGGGGTAGCAGCTGGTGACACCTATCTGCATCGTGAGACGTAGTAGAAGCCTTCCCGATGACACCGAGGCTGCCGATCGTACCACAGCTCTTGATGACGTGCTGTCCTCCAGATCAGGTAAAGTAATATATTTTACCATGCGCGACGATTGAATTAGAATAAGATTCCTCCAAATTTTCCAATTCCATAATTGCACTCTTCGGGTCTCCCCGGGTCCGGACCCTAACCCTGCATCCCCAACCAGTTCGGATTGTCATCGTCGCGCACTTCTTGATATTTCTAAACGTTTCGATATTTCCCGTCTACATAGAAATTCTATCGTGACTCTAATTAAACACTGTGTAGTTTTCCATAAATACAATCCCAACTTTCTGCCCAGTACCAAACTAGGGATGTAACGCTGTTCTATAGAGCGCCTAGCAGGACTGACCACCTGGTACCAAATTTGAATTTGCTTCCAGTGTCAAAGTACATGAAATATCCAATTCATATAATGGAATAATTCGGTATTTAACACTAGAAAGACCGAAACTTAGTATATACCTATATTGCCCAAAGCAGTCAAAATGACTGCATTGTGAAAGAATAACTAATGTGTAAAGAAATTTGTTTAAAATTAATTTTTAATATTTTTTAGATTATTAACAGTTATATACTTCTATTCGACATTTCTTTCATGAATTTAGGGCACAAAAGAAATAAAATAAACAACTTGTTAGAACAAGTATCACTGCATAAAGATTCGAATAACAAGTACTACTTTAGCTTATTGAGCAACTGCGACTTATCAAGTATACGCCCAAATCGAAAATTTATCATGTACTTGTATGTTATCATGTGACGATAATCGAAAAAAAAATGAAAACTGTTATTTCAATACAGAGCCGAACTGGTCATATAAGAAATTTACTCAATTCAATAATAAGAGTCCTTTGATTATTTAAAATTTTCCAAGCAGTCAAAATGACTGCTTTTGGACAATCTAGTGTTAAAAGTAATTTAAAAAATAGGCGCGTGTACTTGTTATTGCGAGACACATCTAATTGTTGCGCTGGCGGCTGGATTCAAAGATGGGAAGTGAGTAGTGTGGCACTCTACCCACTGAACCACCAACACAATTTCTAAACGTTACTTCGGTTAAGAGTTATAATCATTAATATTTGCACATACAGTATTGGTAAATTTTCTTGAATTTATTCAAAAAGATAATACAATAAATATTATAATAAAATAATGCTCATAAAATATCTACATTCTTTTTGTAATAAAGATTTTTCCTTTAGGAATGACAAACGTAAGGCTACTATCATAAAGTGAATATTGCAAGAAATTATAGTTACACTCCAGCTTTATTAAGCGTGTAACGTAATCATTCCACACATACATGAATACTTACGTAAGGGAAGTGAGACTTGGGAGGGGCTCCTATGTAGAGCCTCTACAGCATTTCGCAGGAGAATAGGTCACAAGCCCTAGGTAGCCTAGTGGGCACACCATCCGCTCGGCAAGTAGAAGACTTGGGTTCGAGTTCCGATCTAATTCCCATATTTTTCCACGGATCCTACATATGTACAATAACAAAACGGGAACCTTTTTTGCAATGATTGTTTTTTTTTTATAATAATATATTATATTGCCGGAATTGCATGTTGCAAAAAATGAAAGCATATTAGGCAGTGACGACCTCTCATGATTAATTGTTCCCGCGTAGAAATTCTAATACGGCCCCCATCAGGGCATGATCAGGTTGCCTGACTGCCTCAATAGGGCACTTTTAGGGCAGCCTGATCACGCCCTGACTCGACTTGTAACGTTGTATCACATACGGCCCTGATCAGGATGCCTGACCGGGCCGTTTTAATGTTGCCCTAATTACTTTATATATATTTTTTTTTGTTACGGGAAGATTAGTACATTGCAAAGCCGTGAATATATTTTATTGTCTTTTTGTTTATTGATTGGGATTTTAAATATTATCGTTATATATATAGAAACACTTAAAAGTAATAATAATATTTCGCGCTTATATGTAAGTGTATGTTTTATAACATTATTTCTTCTTTGGTATCAATATATATATATATGGAAGCAGGGGTCTTTAATATTACACGAACTTAATGTAAATATAAAGGGTGTAACTGAATTGTAGCACACAGTTATTACAGTTCAACGCGAAATTAACACCTGAGTAAAAAGGTCTCTTTTTCAGAATTCTATAAAGTTTGGAGCTTATCGGGTCAGTGACCCACTTTTGCTTGCGGTTATCCCTGTCCCTCTGGTGGCCGGTGGTTATATTACATGTATATAGTTTCATATTAGGGCGATTTCAGTGTTGCCTGATTTCACACCTAATACGGCAGCTCTGAATAACGCCTGACTACGGCCAAGTCAGATTTTCCATAATAGGACTTGCCATGGAATTGCCTGATGCGGGCCAAGTCAGGCTTTCCGTAATAGGGCTAGCTGTGACATTGCCTGATCGGGGCCTGATCCTGGTCAGGCAAGCCCTAAGAAATTTCTACGCGGGTTGCTGAACTAAAATCTCTAATTGGGTTAACTTGCCTTGTTTCCATTCAGAACTTGCCAAAGTTAGCTTGCAATAAGGAAATTTCAAGTACTCCCGATTAGGTGCCCCTAACCAAATATCCTGGGTACAGCAATAATTATTACAATATTTCTATACACATGTATTTTCACGTGACATTTTAATTCACGTCATAAGATGAGCAAACTTAGGCTTTTCGGCTTCATCATGGGGCTCTATGCGTTAAATAGCCGTTGCGCGTTGTTGGACTGTATTATTTTATACGTTCTTATTTATTTCCGTCATGGGAACGTTTTTTTGTGTTTGGAATCTTTGAGCAGATTTGAAAAACTAGTGGATATTGTATGTGCACCGTAACCTGATGCCAGCTACTTTTCCCTACTGCTATTCAGGCGCTAACTATTATAGGAAAACTATCTAGCGCCCGACCATAAACATAACGAGCACAGATTAAATAGCCAGACAGTTCTTATTTTGCGTGTGTTACATATTAGTATAAATTGTATTTTCTCTTACGTCAGATATATATATTCAAGATTATACCACATGTAAATATGTACAATAAATGAATGCCCCGTATATGATGACACACGTTAATCTTTTTTCGTACTTGTATTGTTAGGATGAGAAGTGCTTTAATCTGTGAGTAATAGTATAACGTTTTTACGTGGCTTGATTTGCTCGAACACCGTAATAATGAAATTTCTGTCAAGGTTATATGAAAGCTTTTGGATTTAAGCATGAATAAGATCTCAACATACATAAAGTTGCAAAGTTTTTCAAGTATCAATAAATTCTGTATATTCATGAGATATTTGCATTAAATTATATCATTCTGTAACGTCGCAATATGTCAGTAAAGTGGTACATTCATGTGGTTCTGTTTTGATATTGAAATTAAAAATGTAATACGTGATAAGTAATAACTATTGGTGGTGAGTTTAATTAATAATGTATCGATACAGATTTTAAGCGCAAATTTATGCAAGTATGGTTTCCGTAGAAACTTCTAAGGAAACTTTTCAATCTTACGAAATATCAAAAACAAGTTTATTCTTTTAAAAACAAACTTCACAATTAGAGCACTCCAACATACATACAGTTTATTGTTGGATTATTTCCTACTCTTTATTATTTCTTGACTCCTTTCTAGACTTTGACTTTCTAGACTCCTAGAGTCTAAATAGCTTTTCTTTTCTTGAGTTTTATCATGGATCGCCTTGTTGAATTTCCAAGGTAACATTTATTTTTATCCATGCATCTTTGTGAATTTATATTGTCAACATAATATTATATTAGTATAAACAACAAAAGAAAGAAACAATAACGTCAAGTAGGCATTGCAGTGCTTGAATTTTCTGCACCGGATAAGAAACCTCGCTCAAGTCTTGAGGTATAATCTGTAACGTTCGCCTCAGTACCGAGGCAAAAAATATAGATAAGGTAGAATAAGGAAACGTTATCTTTGGTCGATTTGTACGAATTCGAGTAGAGTAGCTACATACGAGGTACACAGGTACTCTACGAAAAGATAGATGTTGAGCGTCAAATATCCAGGTATCAAGTAAAAGATGCGTAATAATTTCTAACACGAAGGTAGCTAAAAGATAATACAGAAATTCATCATGTGCTCGGACAGTCATCGCTGAAGTCCAAGTAGCTCAGCCCCTGAATGATACTAGAGCTGGAAAGCAGTCCTGCAATAAAGCATAATAGATAGTTAAATATTAAGTAATCTACCAGTACGAAATTGTAATACAAGAAATAATGAATTTAGGAAAGACGAGTAAGCTGAAAGGATTAAAAAGAAAAAAATACACTATGCAAAATACTAAAATATTTGACTTAATAAGGTATGCTATTTTCTTCGGCAGTAATCCACGACACTGGATACTAAGGTAGCTGCTCGCGCGTGCTAAGTTCAGTTAATCGTAAGTAGTTGAAAATAATTCCCGACTAGATATTTGTCCGCTGTTCCTTAAGGACCCAGTCGGTAATGCTTAGGGGATGTCTGAACCGGGTATACCCAATAAGGTCCTTAGTCGGACCGGATCAAATTGCCTCAGCGTTTCTTAAAACAGTGTTCGATAGAGTTACGATCGCCCAAGTCGAGATTATTCTGCACCCACTCGCCATCTTATTTGTAAGGTTTAAAAAGATTACGACAGATCCTCTTGTATGAGAATTGTGCTCCTAGTTTGTGCCTCAAACATATTTTAGCAGTGGGTTAGAACCTTTTTCAAACTCAACTGATTAAAAAATGCATTTTTTGCATATTTTCCAAATTTCAATATTTTACTACCCAGCATAATAAAATATGTTAGGTGGGGTATTAAAAATTCGCTTTTTCTACAGTATTAATATACGAAATTCTACTTTGTCCCATGTTTACTCCGCATTACATTATAATTTTAACTAGAAATATCTCTCCGTGTATGTACGTATACGTAAATAAAAGACTTAAAAAGAAAATGATTTTTTAAATGAGTTTTTAAATTTATTTTCAACTTTTCGTTTGTAAATGGAACATTAAAATTTAACTATACAAGTGCGATCTCATAGACCTCACCAA